CATGTGCATTTGTGTGACACTTGAGGTATAAAAAGCACTTTATATATGTCATCTCATCGGATCCTCACAGCAACCTTGGGAGGGAGGTGCTGTTCTTATCCCCATTTTACAGATGACGGAATGGATGGAGCCTCATCCGGGGTCACAAATCAAGCAAGTGTCTGAGGCAGGATCAGAACTCTCATCTTCCAGGTTTTGCTCATGGCTCCATCTAATCCATACACATAAAGGAAGAGAGAAGACATACAAAATAAATTGGCCAATTTTTCAGGAGAGGAGCCCACAGTTCCTAGAACAGGAAAGGCCCTGTTAGGGGGTAGTGTTTGAGGTGAGCTTGGAAGGAAGCCCAAGATTCCGAAAGGTGGAAGTGAGGTGGGGATGTATTCCAGGCAGGGGGCACTGCCAAGGCAAAGATATGGAGCCTGGAAAATGCAAGGTCACTATGGAAAAAGAAGGTCATTGTGGCCGGATACAGGGGACAGGAAGGAGAAGACAGTATAACAGCCTAGAAAGGTAGGTTGGGCCCAGAAGGGGAAGGACTTGGAATGCTAAGCCTCATGTGGCATGAGAGAGCTCTGAAGGGCGAACACAGGTCTGGGAGGGAGGAGAAGACAAGTGCCAGCCGAATGCTCCGTCCATGTTCGTGTCAGACCCAGCTCTGCGTGGCTCTGACCAAATCAAATGCTCAGCACCCAATAACTCCTTATGAATGGCCAGCACCAGACTGCTGGAGGATGAATCCCATACCCTGTGGGCTGTTCTATAATCAGGGAGGGAGCAGAGACAGCCTGCAGGTTCCCACAGCTGGAGGCCTCCAGCAGAGGCCAGCAAACATCTGGCTGGGATGCTTGTGACAGAAGTCCCCCCTCTGGGCATCAAAAATGTGTTTCTGGGACATTGTTGGCGTGAAGGAAGAAAACAGCTGAAACCCATTAGGCCCGGAAATGGTTTTCCATTCTTAGCTTCCAGAAAAAAATTCCAAGGCTTTTTAATCTGGGAAGAAACTCTAAGGGAATCAGAAAGCCCAGGTGTGAGGGAGGGACAGGCCATTAGCACTCCGGGAGTCAGAGCACGCAGGTTTGACACCTGAATGGCATTCCAGGAGGGCACTGGTTTGCCAAGGACTCACCATCAAGCCCCAGGACTTGGACAAGGGGACAAGTTGTCTGAGTTTCTCTCTCATCAGCTGGGGCCATTTGGAAAACCATCCCTCTCTGGGAAGGGGACCAGGTGCCAGGACGTCAGCTGGGGCATGTGCATGTCGGGGCTTTCCTCAGCGGAGCAGAGTTTGCTAAGACCCTTCCTCCCCAAAAGGTACCACAGGGCTCCCGGGAGCAATGATGGATGGCTCCCACAAGGGCCCAGGCATCATTGCTGTTAGATTATGCCACCCTCCCCACCCTGGCCATTGGGTGCAGCATTCACATCAGCCCACCAAGCATGCCCTTCCCCAATAAGACACATGTCATTGGCTGACTGCATCTATATTAACAGGAGACTCCATTCTCCCACCTTCACACTCAAGCATGCTCTCTGAAACCTGGCAAGCTTATGCATCTGGCCTCCAGGTCTCTCTCTCTAGCCTCCTTAGTTATTTTCCTCACTCAGTAGGAGATGCCACTTTCACAGAATATTTCTGCATGACCTCTGCTTTAGTCACTAAGGCATGCCGCACTAATCAGGGACCCAGCAGACCCAAACTAACAGATGCATGCAAGCACGGGTTAGGTAGTGTGAGTTAGCCAAGTTGGATAGCATGGTCTGTACCAAGGGTGGAGATGGCTGGCCCAGAAGACCTGAGCTTATTGGGGCTAGCTAGGTAATGCCTTCCTCTCTGTATTTCAACTTTAACTGTTTACACAAAGAGGCTCCAGGCTAGCTAGCCTTCTCATAACCTTTGGAATGACGAAAACAGTGTCAGCAGTCATCTCCAGCCCTTGTTTTCTGAACTTAGCTAACAGCCCCTATGCCAATATATAAATGGGATTAGAAAATGGAGTGTCAAATAGCCATGGGGCAGCCCAAGGGAGGTCAGCTGCCCAGAATGATCTGGCAGGTCTTTGTTTGGAAGGAGGAAGCTTCCCAAGGACAGAGAAAAAAATCTGAATTTGGGACTAAACACAGTAAAGTATTTTTGTCTGTTTTTCTACCAAACTTTTAAGTTAAGGAGTTAGTTTTGTTGTTGTTATTGTTTTAAAGTTGATGAGAATGTGTTTTGGTAAACGTGAGGCTCCTTGGTTTGATTTCAGTTTGAGAGAGTGAGCTCTGGACTTGGAGTCAGCAGTGGCCTGGTCCAAATCCCTCCAGAGCTCACACTGCCACCACGAGCCAACCACTCCCTTGTGCCTCAGGCTCCTTCCTCCTTTTACAAATGAGGATTTTACTGAGGTCACATCTTGGTCTATTTCTTGGTTAACTTTAAAGCAATGGATAACTGTCAGCTATTTGCCCTGGATTTGCCATTTATGAAACCTGATCTCCATGATCAAGTGAACCCCATCTCCATGTTAAAATTATTCAGGGCTTTCACAGGCTATGCCAAGGGAGTGTAAGGCACTCCCAGGCTGGAAGGGCCTTCCATACAGGCTTAGCTCCAGACCAAGCATCTGTCACTTGAGAATCAGCCCAGCTAAATTTGGAGAGACACAAAGCAGCTGAATTTGGAGGGCTGTGGCCTATGACAACCTGCAATCTGGGCACTCCAGTCTCACACCCATGAGATCCCATGTGGCAAGTTCAAAGTGCATATCTGTATCCAATCAAAGTTTATTATTACAATTACCATTATTGACTTCAGTGTTGGAGGGCATGGAGAGGGCCAGGGTAGGGGGCTCACTCCCTCAAACTGAAATCCAACCAAGGAGCTTCACGTTCACCAAAACACATTCTCATCAACTTTAAAACAATTTTGGTTTGACTTTTAAATTTTTAATTTCTCTGAACGCTTCCCCTGCATTTTTCAGGCTTTACGCACCCTGCCAGAATGCAATCAGACTGCTCTCTTTCAATTTAATTTGTAGTCACATGCAGCATTTATGAAGTGCTTCATGTATATGTAAGACAAGAAGCAGACTGCTGGAGTGGAAGCAGGGTCAGGAAGATGTGGGTTTAAGCCCTGTCCTTCTTCTGACCTGTACCAACTGTGTGACCGTGGGCAAGTCATCCTCTTAGTGCCCCAGGCAACTCTAAACCCTATTAAGGTCAGAGCCAGCATTTAATGAGAGCATCCCCCTTCTGCGTTGGTAAAGGGAATTTCCTTACTGGGAGTACTGTACACCAACAAACAAGAATTTATTAAGCACCTACTACCTGCCAGACAGCAAAGAAATCACAGATCTGAAATAAAAATAATTCCTGGCCAAGGCACTGAACCCAAAGAGAAAAATTAAACAGGTCACAGCATATATTCTACTGTCTGAAAAATCTCCCTGAGGTAAGGAATGACTCTACTTAAGCCAACCCGATGTCAGGGAAGACATAAATAGCCCCAAACAAGTATGTCACTGAGAGATTGATGCCAGATGTGACATATGCTCAGAACCACCCTGGGGGTGCGGGAAGCATGTGGCTTGGCATGATCCACTGGCCTGGAATTCCAGACTCACAGACACATCACTGGATGGAACCTGAGAGATCGCTGAGTAGCCACCAAGAAGGAAACTGAGGTCTGCACTCTAAAAAGAGAGGACTGGACTAGATGACCTCAAATATCCCTTCCATCTCTAAAGCTATGGTCCTCTGACTTACTCAAAGTCACACAGATGCACAAGGCAAACCCAGAACTCAACCTGACTCCAAGGCCTCCTCTGTTTCACACACACACACACACACACACACACACACACACACACACACACACACACATTTCTAGAACCCCTTGGTCTGAGGCAGAGAAAGAAACTGGCCAATACTTTCTCTTTATGCTTCTGAGAATGGGAGGAAACAGAGAAATGGTAGAGGGAAATCATATTCCCTCATGCACAGATGGAGAAACTGAGGCACCAGGAAAAGGGGGAGAAGAATGTCTAACATCTAGGATTAGCATCCAAGAGCCCTGCTACTCTTGCTAATGCTCCTTGCCAAAGATCCCTTTTCCTACATTTGGATTGAGTCAGAATCAGTTCAATAACAAGCATTTATTAAGCACCTACCATGTGTCTGACACTGAGCTAGGCACTTGGGATGCAAAGAAAGGCAAAAAATAACCCCTGCCCTTGAGGAGCTCACAGTCGAAGGGAGGAGAGAGCGCACATACAGGCACATACAGGATGTATACGGAGTAGAAGGAAGGTGCCCCCTCAGTGGGGAAGGCACAAGGCAGGGAGGCTCCGGAGAGGTACAGAAAGCAGGGTTTGAAATCCTTGGTCTTAAAGTTAAGCCACGTGTGAGCCGTGATCCTCTGCCTCCATCCCAAAGAAGGCAGCTCGGAAATGCCAGGTACCCTCACCTGACTCCCCCAGGGACTGCGAGCTCACTACCCTATTATTCAACCTAACTCAGTGCAATGCCATTGAATTTGATTCGGGAAGCAGTTATTAAATACTTACCGTGTACTCAGCACTGTGCTAACCTTTGGGTATGTAAAGATAAAATGAATCCATCTCTGCCCTCAGGAGTAATTTGGGCTAATGCAGCCCATGATGAAGAAGGCCAATCTACCCCAAAATTAAGTCTGAAGGAAACGCCTTTAAAAGGAAAAAGGGATGGTTTAGGGATCATCATGGCCCTGCTCCACTGTTCCCTCCCATCACTCAATGCTCCATTGGCTTGGAGCATTCTCAAACGATTGAGAAAAAATAAATATCCTTTTATTGATATGGAGTCAGGAGAGGTGAGTACCTGAGCCCGGGAAGGGAGGGGGCAACGACAGAAGCTAGCCCGACCCCTCAGTGTGGCATAATCTATGGACAGTGCGGCATCGCTGCGCTCGCGCTCCCCGTCTGCTTTTGGTGAACTGGTTTCTCTGTCTCTCTCGCTTCTCCTTCTCTCCCCTCCTACAGTGTGTGGTCAGCCCTCCCACTCTCTGCCCGCCCTGGTCAAGAGGATCATTGGGGGCCGGAACGCTGAGCCGGGCTTCTTCCCTTGGCAGGCTCTGATAGTGGTGGAAGATACCTCCCGGGTACCCAATGACAAGTGGTTTGGGAGCGGGGCCCTCCTCTCAGAGTCCTGGGTCCTGACGGCAGCCCACGTGCTGCGGTCCCAGCGAAGGGACAACACCGTCATCCCCGTCTCCAAGGAGCACGTTACTGTCTACTTGGGCTTGCATGACGTTCGGGACAAGTCCGGCGCCGTCAACCGCACCGTGGCCCGTGTAATCCTGCACCCCGACTTTGACATCCAGAACTACAATAACGACATTGCCCTGGTCCAGCTGAGGGAGCCCGTGCCCCTGGGGCCCCACATCATGCCCGTCTGCTTGCCCGGGCCAGAGCCCGAGGGGCCACTGCCCAACACCCTGGGCCTGGTGGCCGGCTGGGGCATCTCCAACCCCAATGTCACCGTGGACGAGGTCATCAGCAGTGGCATGCGCACCCTGTCGGACATCCTGCAGTACGTGAAGCTGCCTGTGGTCCTCCATGCGGAGTGTAAGGCCAGTTATGAGTCCCGATCTGGCAACTACAGTGTCACAGAGAATATGTTCTGTGCAGGATATTATGAAGGAGGCAAAGACACCTGCCTGGGAGACAGTGGGGGAGCCTTTGTCATCCAGGACCCTCAGAGCCAGCGCTGGGTGGCCCAAGGGCTTGTGTCATGGGGCGGCCCTGAAGAGTGTGGCAGCAAGCAGGTGTATGGCGTCTACACCAAAGTCTCCAACTATGTGGACTGGGTGTGGTCCCAGCTGGGCTCCCCTCAGGGCCAGGTGGAGGTAGAAGTGGAGGCGGAGCGGTGAAGCCGCCTCCCAGCCTTTCAGTGGTCCTAGCTGGTGCTGGTCCTGAGAAGTCTTCTCTCATCTCCCCATTTGGTTCCATGAGGAAAACAAGATGGTGCACCCCCACCACATCACTCCATGCCCTTCTCAGCTGGGCTTCCTCTGCAGACACGGAATCAGGATCCCGAGTGCCCACCTTCCTCTGACCAGATGGGATCTCTCAGAAGCCCAGACGTTCAGGAGCCCTCGCAGGATCTACCGCTTGGCACCCATTCTGGGGCATGGGTCAGTGCCCTTTGGCCAGCTTTCCCTCTGTTCTACCATCTAATGGTTCTTTAGGTTCCGAGCCACTTGGGAGAAGGAGGGCAAAGGTCCAGATTTCCTAAGACACCCATGTAGAGTAGTTCAGAACTCAGCAAGGAAGCTAGAGGCCCCTCATCTGCCCTTGGCCCTATGCCCCCAGGTAGACCTTTGCCCCTGAATAGCCATATGGGACCCAGGCTGGAATAGACGTCCCCAGTGCACTCCTCTCCTAAGCCACCCTAAAGTTCAAGATCACAGGCATAACCCCTCGAGGACATTTCTAAACAGAAATAGCCCTGGGTAATGCCAAGATACTGGCAGCGTCCAGCGCTGAGAGGCCCGTCCAGCACACTTTCACCCCAGGCCTCCGTCAGCTACACACAGATATGGGAAAAGCAACTCTGGCCAATAGAGGATGCATGGGGCGCCACTTCCGATGCCTCCCCAGCTCTCGTTCACCAGCAGCCAAGGTTCACATCTTCCTCAGGGCCTGGCAGCACCCTCCATCTCCTTTGCCTGCCTCCTGCCAAACTCTTCTGTGAAATGAGGGGCCAGGGTCTGGTCCTGCTGGCGTCCCTGCTTCTGACCACCTGTGGGAGTGTCACAAGCTTCTTGACCCCATCATCTGTAAAATCAGAAGTTTGGACCAGAAGACCTACTTTGGAGGTGCCTCCCAGAGCCCTCATGGACTCTGAGTCTCGTGCCACATGGAGCTCTCACAGTCCTCACAAAAGTGCCAACCTCTGATCTCCACTGAGAGCAAAGACCAGCCCAGCCCTCTTACCTGGGGAGGGTGGGTGTTCAGAACCATCCCCTGCTTTCTGAGCTGCACTCTCCCAGCGTCTCTTCTCAGGCCTCCCATTTCTCATTTGGCCTTCTGACCTTGGTCTCAATCCTCTCCAGGAATCCAGAGCTCCAGACTGTCCAGTGAGCTACCATCATGGAAAGGGGTTGGGGGTCCCTCTGTGCTTCCCTGCTCGTATCCCTGCCAGAGAATGCAGACAGAGACCATAGGCAGGAGGCTCCCATAAGACCAGCAGGAAAACGCCCTGCTGACCTTCTGAGCATGACAAATATCCGACTTTTCTCTGTGCCTGAGCTGAAGGTCCTGCATATTTTATATTCCACAGCATAAGCTTCACCAGGTCTGTGAGGTACTTCGGTTCCCACTCCCCTCCTTTCCTCGGGGACTGAGTTGGGAATAAAGTCCCTCTGAACAGAAATGGGGCAGGTAGCAGTTCTGTTCTAGGACCCTGCTTTCTGATGCTCTGGTGACACGCCTTTTCACTCCTTAGATCACAGATCAGTATCTGGAAGGGGCCTAACAAGTTATCGGGGCCAACCCTTTCATTTTACAGATGGAGAAACTGAGGCATGGCAAAGTTCAGTGACTTGCCCAAGGTCACCCAGCTAGGAAGTGACAGGGCCAGGATTCCAACTCTGGACATGGAACTTCTTTCCTTTTCCCCTACCAGGAGACAAATTCACACCCACTGCGTGGGGGTAGAGGAGGTAGTGAGTAGCAGGACAAGAGTTAGAATCCTAGTTCAGCCACTTAGTACCTGTGTAGCCCAGGACAAGTCTTTTCTCCTCTCTGGCCTCAGTTTCCTCATCTGTAAAAGGAGGAGACTGGCCTAGCTCCCCTCTGAGAGCCCTTCTGTCTCTCTGTCTAGAGGGAGGCAGCATAAGGTGGGGGCTAGACACACCCTGCAGGTGTGGTGAGCTGAGTCTCTTCAGGTTGGCATGGAATCATGGAATTGAGACGCGTCTATGTAGCCTGGACTGCAGATCTACAGCCCTAGACTGTCACTGACCCAGCCCCACCCAGGCTGACTTGCGTCATTGCTGAATGGGGAGGCTAATGATGCTGGGGGCTATTCATGGGCTCCACCCCAACTGAGGGCTTTGGGGTGCCAGGGGCAGCTGTCCCTCAGCCCTCCACAGCTTCCTCCATTCACCCCAGCTGTCCCAGGCCAGGGGAGAAGTAGGTGAACACTGTCTTCTGCCCCCCAGAATTCTCTCTCCATCCTTTTCAGAGTCCCTTTCTCTCCTTTCTGGTCCCTCTGGACATTTCCTCCCTTTTCTCAAGACCGGCACTCTAGAAAGGTCCTGGTGTTAGCTTTTTACCCTTTAGTGTGAATAGAAGGCAGAGAAGAAGGCTCTTGTGGAACCTCTGTTGATGAAAGAAAGGCTTTGTCCCTTGCTGATATTAGTATCTTCCTGTAGATAGGAGCAGGGAGAGAAGGAAGGGGTGGTAGTTTATCAGTAACACTGGCCCTGCTGAACTGCTCAGCTAGCCAGTGTGCCGGGCAGGGGGACTTTCTAGCCTAGCGGCCAGTGGCAGATCAGGGCAATGGAGATAGCCCCTCGCTTACACCTTGCCACATTAAATGGCCATGAACTTGGGACATACTGGGCGTCATTTACCAGACAATTCATTGGCTCCAGAAGCTCCTCCGGGGTGTTGATGTCTGATGGGCAGCTTCTCCTGTGGTAGCGCCCAAAGTTCAAACTATTAGAGGGGAAAGGGAGTCAACTTTGGTGAGCATGGGACAGAGGGAGAGGAAACCAAGAGTGGATGGTCACCGAGGGGGACAACGCCAGCCCTCAGCCACGGAAGTTAAACCTAAGTGCTTTGTACTGCATCCTACAGGAATTAACCTTCTGAGGCAGAAGATGGTGGGAGGACAGCTGGTAATTTGTTGGTTGAAACAGTCTTCCCTGTAGCATGCTGGGGCACTACCTCTGCATGGGAAGGGGAGGGAGATCCTGTGGGGAAAGGAACATAGCTCTTGGAGGCCGCAAGTCAGCAGTGGGGATGGCTGACGGTGTGGGAGGGCACTCCTCCCAGGATACGGCTCTCACACCCAGGCCCCAACAACCTCACTCTGTTCTTCCCTCCCCTGGCTGCAGTGTGTGGCATCCCCAAGTTCTCCAGGCAGCTGCTGGCCAGGATAGTCAATGGGCGCTCAGCACAGAGGGGGACCGCCCCATGGATCGCCATGCTGTTCAAGAATGGGCAGCCTTTCTGTGGGGGTGCCCTCCTAGGTAAGGAGTTGGGAGGAGGTGGAAACTTGATCCTGGGGCTCCTGAACAGATTAAATTAAGCCTTGGTCCAACTTGGACACGGTTGGAGGCTTCTTATGTGACATCATAACAACTCTGAGAAACCCACCCCCAAAAACATCCCTACTACATCAACCTCCATGGTGACCAAAGGCCCTGTCACCTTGTCCCAATTTAATCCAATTCAGCAATTTTTGATCAAACATCTACTCTGTTCCCGATGCTGGGAATCCGAAGATGAAGGACATAGAGCCTGCCATTCTCCCAAGGGATGCAATATGTAATTAATGAGTAACTGCAAGGGAAGAACAGGAACCAGGCGGGAGGGTCTGGAAGGCTTCCTGTCAGAGGGAGCATCCCAGATGAGACTTAGAGGAAGCCTCAGTTTCCTTATCTGCAAAATTGGGGGGGGGGGTTAAGTAGACATCATCAGATCAGATCAGACAGACCTCCAAGGCCCCTTCCAGCTCTAAGCATTAATGAAGCCAATTGATGTGAGTTAATATCTCACTATTCCAGAGGCATAGCTAGCTGGGTGGTATGGTGGATAGAGCAGTGGGCCTGGAGTCAGGAAGACCTGGATTCAAATCTGGCCTCAGACACTTCTTAGTGGTATGACCCTGGGCAAGTCACTTCACCCTGTTTGCCTCAGTTTTCTCAACTATAAAATGGGGATAGTAGGGTTGTTGTGAGGATCAGAGGAGATAGCATATAGTAGGTACTTCCCAGAGTCAGGGCAGCTACATCTGCACCTCAGGCACCAGCAGATACCCCAAGGGGTTTAGGAGTATTCCTTTTCTAATGTCACTGGCAGCTCAAACCCCCATTGGGTACCTCTGTACATGTGCACGCGTGCACGCACACACACACACACACACACACACACACGCACACACAGGTACCAGTGACTAGAGGCTGAGTTCCAATGAAAGTCAATCAGCTTTTAGGAAGGGATGCATGTTTCCTAGGACACTGAAAACAAGAGGAGCATCCCTCAGCAGTCTTCTATGCCACCTCCGCATCTGGAGGGAGCGGGCTCAGATGGAGCTAGTTCCTACTCAGCATTAATCCCACCAAGTTCACAGACAAGAGTGTCATCCGAGGCCTCCTTCCAGCCAGGAGAGCTGGGTCCTGCGGCTCAGTCCTGAGGCTCTCCCCGTGCTCCTCAGAGAATCTGTGCTGGTCTGGCTGCCAACCAGCCTGCTGGGATGCCAGGATCTCAGGGTATCCCCGGGCTCCCAGGTTCTCCCCTGACCTTTCACAAGGGCACGTCCCTGAAAACTGAAAAAGAGCACAAAAGATCAGGGAAGCTCTCCAGGAAGCAGAACCCCCAGCCTCCATGAAGGGGACATGTGCTGCTATACTGTCATTCTGTGGGAAGATGCCTCCCAACCCTGGAGCTCTGTAGCCTCAAACTCCCCTAAAATGAGGGAGCTGGGCTGGACCCCCTCAGAGGTCCTTGCAAGAGGGACAGGGCGAGGAGAAAAGCCTGTGGGGTATCCCCCAAATGAAAATACACAGCCGGCCCTAAAGCAGTGAGGAGTGGACCTCAGCCCCCAAGTGGTGGAACTGGAGATGCCACGGAATCCCCAAAAACCTCCCTCTCCCACCACAGCCTCCTCCTGGCTGTGCCGCGTCAAGCTTGCCGAGGCCAGGCCAGCAACGTGCGGCTCCAGCAGCCTCCACTGTTGGCCAGGCCTTGAGGACAGGGTCAGTGACAGGCTGTGTGTCCAGACCGAGGACCAAATGGCGAGGGGCTCATCACCACACTAGCCACGGAGCCACCCAGTCCGCCGGCTTGCAGAGGGGCTGGGATCTGTGCGGGTGGAGGGATCACCCACCTCCCCAAAATCAGAGACCCCTGCAATACCCAAGAGCAGAATGAATTAAGATCCGGGAGCTAAAAGCCGGCCTCATGGCTTGGCTTGATCACACACCATGGCATCCCGGGCCAAAAAGGACCCCAAAGCCCCTGAGTCCGACCGTCTCATTTCATAGAAGGGGAAACTCAACCTAATTGGGGAGGTGAAGGGAGGGAGCTAGGGAATCGGCGTGTTTATTAGGATAATTACGGACCGGGCACTGTGCCGAGCGCTTCTTAAAAGATCACCTCATTTGGTTCTCACCGTAATTCTTTGAGGTAGGGGCCTTCGGTGTGCTCACTTCACAATGAAGGAAACTGAGGCAAACAGCGACGTTTTCAGAGTCATGCAGCTAGTAAGTGTGTTATGGCAGATTTGAACTCAGGCCTTACTCCAGGCTCCGCAAAACTAAAAATAATAATAATAATAATAATAATAATAATAATAACAACTAACAGTTATTTAGATAGTGCCTACTATGTACCAGGCAACATGCTAAGTGCTTTACAATTATTATCTAATCATCCTTATAGTAACCCTGGGAGGTAGGTGCTATTATCATTCCTACTTTACAAATAAATAAACTGAGGCAAAGAGTTCAGGGTCACACAGCTAGTAATTGTCTAAGGCCAGATTTGAACTCAGGTCTCCCTAACTCCAGGCTCAGGGCCCCACCAGTTGCCTCTAATGGGGGAGGATAAATGGGTAAGGGGTCCGAGGGCTGGCACTAGTGTTAGGAGGGCCCAGGGAAGGCTTTTTGCTGAAGATGGAGTTTGGGCTCAGACTTGGCATTAAGCCCTCAAGTCAGAAGGCAGAGATGGGGCGGGGGAGTACTGTAGGTATGGAGGACAGCCAGGAGAGACAGCCGAGGCCCTGGGCGGAGCAGCCCACCAGGGGAGAAAGGCTGAAGACACCGGGAGGGCAGGAGGGGGCTGGGCTATCCAGGGCTTTGAAGGCCAAACGGAGGATTTGAGAGCGGATCCTTCTGGGGACAGAAGCCACTGGTGCTGATGACATAGTCAGACTCAAGCATTAGGCAGACAGCTGGCCGCAGAGTGAAGGCTGTTCTGTGGGGCTCTCCCTGAGGCCTGACCTCCTCAGCACCTGGCCTCCTAACCTTGGCTGAAACCCAAATTGAATTCAATTGGATCCTTGAACTCAAAAACATCATCTTGATTTTCACTAACCTTTAACCCAAACTTAGTATTTCCTTCAATTATTCAGAAACCTGATTCTGAGAAGGGGCCCACAGGCTTTGCCAGGCTGCCCAAGGGGCCCACGCCTGGCACACAATCAGAGGCCCCGCTTGGGGGGTCAGAGAGAGTGGCCAATCAGCAGGGCGTCTACCCCAGCACCCTGGTCTAAATGAGGAGGATAGGGAGGATGAGGAAGGAGATCTGAGCTTTGACCACAGAGTTTATTAAGAAATCAGGGCTCTGCTGGGCTCTCGGTGCCGGGGACACACTCCCATTGGAGGTAGTGGGGGAAGGGCCTGGCACCCTCACATCTACCACCCAAATCTTGCCAGCCACACAGCACCTGAGGCATAAGGGAGATGTCTCCAAACTACGTTCCCATTGTCCTACGGGACAAACGACCTGGGTGAACCAGCAACCTAAGGAAGCACCTACCTGAGCACAAAAGTAGCAAAGCAAAGGCGCTCCCTGCCCTCAAGAGGCTTACATTCTAATGATGAGATTACAGGAGAGCAATGCCCGGGGAAGGGCACTTTAGTCCAGAAAATCAGAGGGACGGTGGGTGAGCCACGGGGAGCAGACTGACTCTGACCTGACCATGGTTCCCAAACTGGAGGGGAAGGAGAGGAAGTGAAGGTGGCCAGGAGTAGGGAGGAAAGTGAAGCCCGCCTGGGGCCTCTCTGCAATGGCCAGCCAGGTGAGGCCTCACTAGTCAGGTAAGTGGGGCTCCCGGGAAACCCCCCAGGACACAGGGCAGCTGGCCCTTGAGGGTAGGGTGGGGTGAGAGTGGGGAAGGGTTCCAGGAAAAAAATGGCAAAAAAATTGAGGTAGGGGAAAGCCTGCTGAATCTAAAATTATAAGTCCATTACCTTCAAGAAGCAGTAGCTAATTTCAGGAAGGCCTAAATTCAAATCCTCACTCAAATCTTTGCTGGGCAAGTCACCTAAGTACTTTGTGACTCAGTTTTTTGAACAAGACAGTCTCTCAATACTGAATCCTAAAATCTCACGATACTTATCTCTCCAAAGCAGCCAATTAGCATGTAGAGATGCTTCAGAAATAGGATGATGAGATCGTGAACATCAAACCACATAGGACCTCGGGAGTTATCCAGCCCATTCTGTAGATTAAGAAACTGAGGCGGGGCCGCTAGGTGGCACAGCGGATAGAGCACTGGCCCTGGAGTCAGGAGGAACTGAGTTCAAATTCGGCCTCAGACACGTGATACTCACTAGCTGTGTAACCCTGGACAAGTCACTTAACCCAAAATGCCTTGAAGAAAGAAAGAAAGAAAGAAAGAAAGAAAGAAAGAAAGAAAGAAAGAAAGAAAGAAAGAAAGAAAGAAAGAAAGAAAGAAAGAAAGAAAGAAAGAAAGAAAGAAAGAAAGAAAGAAAGAAAGAAAGAAACTGAGGCCCACAGAGGCTACGTGACTAGTCCAAGGTTGTACATATGGTGAGTGACAGAGCCGTGGCACCAGACCCGGTACTCTTTCCCCTACAAATATGTCACACCCACCCTGTGGATCCCAGGCAACATTGCATACACCTAGGATCCTCCCTACCTTGATGAATACTTAGGACTTCAGCCAATCAATATATTTTCAACCCCAGAATAGCCAAATTAGCTTGGGAAATTAATGCGTGGACCATCCCAAGGAGATCTGAATTTTCACAAGAGACAAAATCCTCAGCTAAAGGAATGAGCCTCTAATAGTAGAATTTTAGGTACAATCAGCTGGTCGGGTCTGTAGGGGAGAAGTATCTTGGGAAGGCCATGAGGCCTTCTCACTACCCCTGAAATCACACCCTGTCACCTATGTAAAGTCACCTTCTCTGCCCACCTGCAGAGCTGCTGGGCCTGGCTAAGGATGCCCAGACTTGTCTTATCTCTAATAAATGAAAGAGCTCTGGGGCCACCCACCCACCTAACTGAAAGCTGTCCTCTCCTGGCTTCACAGTGCCCCCATGGGCAGTCCGTTTCCCTTCCTGGTCCAACAGGACGTGGAGGGCTCCCCACTGGGGCTCACACTGTGCCCTAACAAGGTCATTTATGGCTCTCCCAGAGCCATGGTAGATATTGTGCCAAAGGCCATTGTCCACACTGAACGCCCAGACTTAGCACAAAGTCTGGAGCCGTGCAAGAAGGACGAAATGCCCCCATCCAGGTTTTTCCAGGATATCACAGGGGCTGTCGTTTCTTAATGCATGGTTCTTATAACTCCTTTCTTTGTTGTGTCCCTGGTCGGATGCTCTGACTGCACCACCCTAGTTATGCCTCTAGACTCTTTCCCATGTTTTTGCAGCTAAGAGCGGTAGGCCTGGAGTCAGGGAAGTTAAAATCTAGCCTCCAAGTCCCTTAACCTCTGTTTGCCTCAGTTCTCTCACCGTAAAATAGAGAGGACAATAGCACCTCCCACTCAGGGGCTTTGTGAGGACCAGATGAGATTGGTTTTGTGAAGAGCTTAGCATGGTGCCTGGCACATAGTAGGTATTTCATAACCTTCCTTCTTGAGCATGAGGGAGAGAAGAAAACCCGTGTGCGCCATGGACTTGGCATGATGAGCTGCTGAGCCGGGCACGTCAGATGGGGACAGCCCAGCTAGGGATTCAGGTGGCACCCACAGGCTAATCAGCTCCCCCACCCTGCAGATCATTCCCCTCAGTAAGAAATGTAGACGATGACCACACGTGTGCTCGTCCGGGCTGTCCCTGAGGGCCAGAATGGCCTGAGCTGGCTCCTGCTGCAGGGCACGCTGGGCCAGGGCCCCCATCTCCCCCACACAGCAGAGCTCCCGACGAGAGGGGCTTCCTCCAGCAAGCTCTTCTGCAGCCCCCTGCGCCACGTGCACCAGGCTGCTTCGTATGGGGATAAACGGAGACCGTTCTCCCAGTGCCCCTCCCTTTGGTGACCATTTCCCAGTCTGAAGCTTGGACACTGGAATCGGGGATGTCCTTCAGCATGAGTAAGTGAGTGAGAGCTGAGCTGTCCAAGTAGAAGGAAGGGTAGCTACTGTGATGTATCTCATTAATCAAACACCCACTTATTAAGCTCCTGCTGTATACAGGGTGCTGGGAAGACAAATACAGAGAATGAAACATTTCCTGCTCTCACTCTATCAGGGAAGATGAGTCCATTCATCGATAGATACTGAATGAATGTGAAGAGAACAAATCCACTAGAGTGTGGGAGGAAGGATGCTAGCAGCTGAGAGGACCGGGGTAGGCTTCATGCAAAAGGTGTTTAAGCTGCGTCTTCCAGGAAGAGATGCTGGGAGGTAGAGAGGAGGAGTGAGTGTACTCCAGGCATCCACCACTGCTAAGGCAAAGGCTTGGGGATTGGAGATGAGAGTCTCATGAGCAAGGGACAGAGACAAGGCAGGTTTGGATGGATCAAAGAGTGCAGGAAAGGGAGTAATATTGAATATAGTTGGAAAGTTAGTTTGGGGCCAGGCCCCGAAGGAGGTGGGGATTGGAGACAGCTTAGTCCTATGTGGAAGGTGATTGCTTAATACAGGGAAAGGAGAAGAAAGATGGGAGGCGGAGGGATTGTTAGCCACAGGAGTAGTAGTGGGTGGCAGGTGAACAGGAAGGCCTCTAGGCTCCATGGGGCATTGAAGAGGGGGCCAGTCAGCCGGGCCTGGCTGTGCATGGGGCCGGAGGGGCAGGGATCAGAGTGGGAGGTCATGCCCTTTGGGCAGCAAGATGAGGCTCAGACCTGCGAGAAGTATGCAAGGTTCAGAAAGAACAGTAAGAGGGAGCAGCTAGGTAGCAGCTAGGTGGACAATGGATAGGGCACCAGTCTTGCAGTCAGGAGGACCTGAATTCAAATCCCGCCTCAGATACATGAGACTCACTAGCTGTGTGACCCTGTGCAAGTTACTTAAGCCCATTGCCTAGCCGAAAGAAAGAAAGAAAGAAAGAAAGAAAGAAAGAAAGAAAGAAAGAAAGAAAGAAAGAAGGAAAGAAAGAAAGAAAGAAAGAAAGAAAGAAAGAAAGAAAGAAAGAAAGAAAGAAAGAAAGAAAGAAAGAAAGAAAGAAAGAAAGAAAGAAAGAAAGAAAGAAAGAAAGAACAATAAGAGTAAAAGCCAATGTTTAGATAGCACTTTCAAGCCTGCAAGTCTTGGGTTGGGCACTCTGGCCATTTCATGCCCATTTCATAGAAGAGGAAACTGAGGCTCCTTGGAGTTGTAATCTGCCTGTGGTTCCCCCTCATTGCTGCTTATGGACATCAGGCCTTCCTGAGGCCAAGCACGCTCCACCCAGAAGCTCTAAATACCTCTGACAGGAGGCTTACTTTTCCATGGGCATTTTTCTGTGTGGGTCCATAGAGGCCCACACCTGGAGGGAGGCAGCCAGAGGAACAAAGTGGGGTGTCGGGATGTTGCTCCCAGGGGGGTCCGGCATGCTGGGACCGCTGGGTGTCTGCTCCTGCAGGGAGGGTCAGGTTCCCTGAGGGTGAAGCTGTGACAAGAAGTAAATTCAGGTGAGGTAGATGCTCTGATACATCCTCCATCCCCCAAATACTTGGGGAACAGACCGACAGACCGACTCTTTGGGCTCCTCCGTGTACCTCCATCTCTACCCTCCAGGCCTTTGCCTGGTTGCTGTCCCCCATTCCTGAAGGGGTCCCCACCTCCTTCCTCACCACTGCCCCCCAGAATCCAAAGCTTTCCTAATCATGCCCAGCTTCCAGGGCCCGTCCCTCTCCTCCCCATGTCCATCCCTTAACTCATCCCACTTCTGAATAAAGGATTACCTTCCAGAGCTGGACTCGCCCGGTACCCCACCCTGGGGCAGCAGAATCCGAGCTAGAAGTCCTGGAAGAGGTGGGAATCCAGAGAGGCAGGAAGTGGGCACGGGCTCTTAGTAGTTTTTTTTTTCATCCTAACTGCCTCACTTCCCTGAAGTCCAGCTGGGAGATGGAGGCTCCAAGGCCGTTCCTGGCCACCCTCGGCTCCTGGTCGATGGTGAACTGAGTCACACTCCAGGTCCTCCTCTGGGCATTGGGATTTGTGGGTAACAGGACCAGTGGGAGGACTTGATGGAAAGAATCAGAGGCTTCATCACTGCTAGGTAAAGCTGGAGACCTTAATGACCAGGAGGCTGGTTGCAGGACGCAGCTAGGTCAGAGCATCCCCACCATCCCTCAACGCTCCAAGCTCTGGTCTGCACACTCTGGGCGCTTTTGTTCTCTAGGAAACAAGTGGATTGTGACAGCCGCTCACTGCCTGCACTGGCGCCTAGAATCTGAATACGCCCCTCTAACCAGCTCTGACCATCTCCCTCTCTCTGAATTCACAGTTATCCTGGGTGAGTGAGACACAGCCTGAATCTGCAGGTGGTGGCCGAAAGCGTGATTGGCCACTGACAAAATTAATCACCAATTATTCTTACCTGGAGACTTAATTATATAGTCTCTATATTATTGTCAATTGTACCATTGTTATATTTATATTATTAATCAATATCTAGCCTCTAGCATAGTGCTTTGCACTATGTTAGTGTATATAGTATGCTATATCTACTGTTAGCATATAGTAGATATATATATAATTAGCATATATTAATAGTATAGTATGTGTATCCACATATTATTAGTATACAGTATATATCATTATGTAATATATTATTTGTATATAGAATATATAATTGTATATGATATATACTATTAGTATATAGCACATAAATTAGTGCATATATATCAATAGTGTGTAGTATGTGTATGTATATATTATTTGCATATAGTATATATTATTAATATGTAATGTTCATTTGTTTATAGAATGTATAATTAGTATGCAATATATTATTGGTATATGGTATATATTATTAAAATATAGTATATCTTAGCAGTATGTAGTGTATATTATTAGTATGCACTATATATTAGTAGTATGTGCATGTATGCGTTATTAGTATGCAGTATATATCATTCGTATGTAATATATTGTTTGTATATAGTATATATATTTAGTATGTAATATATTAATATATGGTATATATGCTATTAGTGTGTAATATATTATTAATGCACAGTATACTATTAATATATATTATTAGCATGTATTATGTATTATTAGCATATAATATATGTAATTAGTATGTAGTATATATTATTTTTATGCTGTATATACTATTGGTATGTAATATATTAGCAGTATATAGTATATATAAGTAGTACCTACTATACATATACGCACACACGCACGCACACACACACACACACGCACACACACACACACACGTATACGCTATTAAGAAATGTTGACTGAGGAGCAGATAGGTGGCACAGTGGATACGGCTCTGGCCTTGGAATCAGGAGAACCTGAGTTCAAATCCGGCCTCAGACACTTAACACTTGCTAGCTGTGTGACCCTGGGCAAGTCACTTGACCCCAATTGCCTCACCAAAAAGCAAAAAAGAAAAAAGAAAAAAATGTTGACTGAATTGAATGCTGGTTGAAGTAATTATGTCATGCATTCATTAAGAAGCCTCTCAGTATCATCTGAACTCGGGTTTGCAGGGTGTCATACTTGGAGCTGAGCTACAAGGTTCTGCAAGACTCCAGAGCTCAGCCAGAATCAGATCGAAATGTAAATAGGAAATATCTAACAAAACAAATACAAACTAAATGCAACCCAGATAGTGGTGGTTTGTAGTTTTCCGAGTCAATCAGTGGCTGACATCATTGGTTTCAGAGGCGTGGCTTTATCTCCCAGCCCCGCTGACCTTTGCCAAGGCACTGTGTCTACCTGAGTTTCACTGTTCTCATCCATAAAATGTAGACATAATTTCTCTATCAACTTCACAAGGTGGTTATGAGATCAAATGAGATCCTGTGTGTAAAAACATGGAGTGTATTGAGTGACTGCCATATACCCAGCCCATTCTGTATAAAATGTACTCTCTTTCACTCATAATCCTATGCCCTAAGTGCAGAGAAAGAAAAAACTCTAATCTGGGACACAGATCATAGGAAAAGCAATGGCTTAGACTCAGAGAATCTGGGTTCCAGTATAATCTTGTCTCCTTAATTGATACCCACATGACTTTGGAGTAGTCACATAAGCTCTGGCCCTCGTGTCCTCATCTGCAAAGTGAGTGATTAGGCTAGGTGACCTCTCAAGTGATTCTCAGTCTCTCCCAGCCCCAAGTCTCAGATTATCCTCGAACCCATGGGAGTTGATGATGTTTTCTGAGAGAGAGAAGAGGACTCAAGGCAGGGCCTTGAAGTGCAGGCATGTCTTGGCGATGTTTCAGGTTTGGTTCCAGACCACTCCATGGAGTGAGTATCGCAACAAAGTGAGTCACACAAGTTGTTTGGCTTCCCAATGTGCATAAAAGTTATGTTTACCGTAGTATGTTTATGTTTAAAAACGTTATGTTCATCTTGTAGTCTATTAAGTGTGCAGTAGCATTACATTAAAAAAAACCCCATGTCAATACCTTACTTTAAAAACACTTTATTGCTAAAAAGTGCTAACTGTCTTCCAAGCCTTCCGTGGGCTGTAATTTTTGCTTGTGGAGGGTCCTGCTTCGATGGAGATGGCTGCTCACTGATCACACGGTAGTTGCTGAAGGTTGGGGTGGTTGTCGCATTTCTTAAAAAAGGATAACAATGAAGTTTGCCCCAATGATTGATTCCTCTTTTCACTGGAACACTTAGAGGCCATTGTGTTAATTGGCCTAATTTCAATGTTGTTGCCTCTCAGGGACACAGGGAGGCCTGAGGAGCGGGCAGGAGATGGGGAATGGCCAGTTAGTGGAGCAGACAGAACACACACACATTTGTCGATTCACCACCTTATATCAATGCAATTTACCCTCAAAACAATTCCAATAGTAACATTGAAGATCACGGATCACAGATCACCATAACAGATATAGTAATAATGAAAAAGTTCGAAATATTGTGAGAATTACAAAAATGTGACACAGACACGTGGTGTGAGCACATGCTGTTGGGAACATGTCATAGGGTTGCTACCCACCTTCAGTTTGTAAGAAATGCAATATCTGCAAAGCGCAATAAAATGGGGTGTGCTCATATACCCTCCTGTTAGTGGACAGGACATGAATGATGACCTAGCAAAGGAGATAAGGCTTAAAGCATTACTCCTCCCATGGGAATTTACAAGTACCAAATGATGATGGAAAGAGTTCTAGGTTTGTAGTCAGAGAAGTTGGGCTCTTTACTCCTGTTGGCAAGTTACTTCTGGTCTCTTAGACTGTTCCTTGTCTACAGAGCAAGAGAATTGGACTAAGTCAATCTACAAGCATTCATTAGGTGCCTGTGCTGGTACTGGGCCCTTGCCCTCAAGGAGCTTACATTGTATTGGGTGAAACTATATGTGAATGAGCTCTCTTCCAGCTTTCAATCTTATGAGCCTGGAATTTCTACTTCCAGGTAAAGTCTCTTCCAACTCTAAATACTATGAACCTATAATTTTTTTTTTACTGTAACAGATAATACACAACCAAACATTAATGGTGGAATTTCAGACATCAGCAAGCCAGTAGGAGAAATCTGTTGTGAGGTGGAAGAGATCTTCTTAGTACCACCCCACACCGAAGCGTAGGCAAAGGCATTCTCCACCTACTCTTAAAGCCAACCCTACTTTTTTAACTTGGGCCAATGGCTTATTCTTTCTGTGTCTGGGACTCTTTAAAAGAAAAAGATAGAAGCTTGTCTTCACCATCAACTGATTAAGCCCCATTCCATCTCCTGACCCTATGTCCTCCGTGTTCCTCAGCCATGCCAGATCTCTGGTAAATGTGGAGACAGGAGAGAGATGACAATATCACACAGAAGTTACACCAGCCCTCCAGGAACAGAAGGCCTTCTCCAAATGAATGCTTCCCCTCCCCCTCTTTCCTTCTTTCCATCTAGGAAAGCACAGAACACAGATGAAGGATGACACAGAGCAGCAGCTCCAGGCAAAGAGTATAACCTTCCATCCATCTTACAAGGCCACCACATTCGAGAATGACCTCGCTCTAATCGAGCTGCTGGAAGGGCCAATGTTGAATGACTATGTGATGCCCATCTGCCTCCCAGAGGGGCCCCCGCAGGAAGGTACCCATTCATGGGGGGAATTCCCCAAGCCCCACGTCACCACCCTGATGTTCTCCATCTTTGAGTGAGGTTCCTACTCTGTGCTATACCTAGAAGTGATCGGGTTGAGGGGCCTCCTGCCAGAGGGCATTATCAGGCTACCTCTGGCAGACCCCAATGGTTCCCTCCACTGATAGTCAGCATGACCCAGAGACTGAGTCCCAGGGAGGGCCTTGACCCAGTTTACCCTCCAGGTCCTCATTGTCTTCATTTCATCCAGGGATGTTGAAACAAATGATTGAGATCTTCTATGAAAGCCTTTGGTCACACTGAGACTGAGAGGACAGAGGAGCTGGAGTCTTGGCAGATCAAGTCTTTGCTGCAGACCTAAGCTATCTAGATTTTAGCAAAGTCCTGGACGAATGCCTTCTTGCCTTTCCTTGCTGACAAGATGGAGGTGGGGGGGGGTGGTATGGGCTGGATGATACCATAAGTGGATTAAGAACTGGTTGAATGACCCTTCCAAATGAGAGTCACCAGCGGGTCAATTCAAGCCCCTTAGAGTTCAGAGAGATGCCTGCTGGGAAAGGGTTCCTCCCCTTTTCTGTGTCCAGGACCCCGTTGGAAGTCTGGGGAAACTGATGGACCAATTCTCAGAATAATGTTAAATACACAAAAAAAATTTTTAAATTGCAAAGGAAATCAATTTTGAAATGAAATTATCAAAAAAAAAATTAAGTTCACTGAATACAGGTTAAAAAACTTTGTCAAGGGCATCTGTCTTTGGGTGTGGTTCATTTTTCTATTTGTGGCTTAGATGAAAATGTAAAGGCATTCTTGTCAAATTTCCAGATGGTACAAAGATGAGAACAGCTAACAAGTGGGCTGATGGTGCCAGGATCCAAGAAAATCCTGACAGCCTGACAACGGCTTGAATCTAATGAGACAAAATTTCATATGGAAAAAAATGGAAAGTTCTGCATTTTAATTTTAAAAATCAACTTCAGAGACACAGGATAGAAAGACAGAGTGACTGAATGGGACAGGGATGGAACTGATAGCATTCACTGGGGAGGTTTAGCCGACAACATAGAGAAGGAAGCAAAGTGTGGGAAGTGACCTCAAGTTCTTAGAGGCTTGTCCTGTGGAAGGGGGGTCAGCCTTGGGCTGCTTGGTTCTAGAGGGCAGAACCAAGACCAAAGCCTGGAGTGGGGGAAGGTGATGAAAAAGAGAGATTCAGGCTGGATGTTGAGGAAAGCCTCCTAACAATGAGCTGCCCCAAAGTGCCCGGGCTGACCCCCGAGGTGCTGAGTTTCCTTTCCCTGGAGGACCTCAAGCATGAGCTGGGTCACATCGTTGGTAGAGATAGCGCAGAGGGAGCTCTTGTTCAAACTAGATACCCCTAGACGCTTACCCTCGATGCTGTCAAAATTCAAGGTTCTGGACGTCAGTGAAAGATAATGGATTCCTTGAGTAGATAAATTGTTAGACTGTAAGATCCTTGAGAACAGGGCCGTCTTTTGCCCTTAGCACACTTAGCACAGTGGCTGGTACATAGCAGGCACTTAATAAATGTTTATTGAATGAAATTGATGGATCACCTTGAGCTGAGAGGCAAGTCCCTCCCCACCCAGGATGCCAGGTTTCATAGACATAGAATCCTTTAACTTGAATGGTTTTTCAAGGTCTCATCAAGTCTCGTGCTATGAGATCTTGCTGCCAGCAATATTTTTGCTCTAGAATATTGAAGAAGAAATGACTCATGTATCAAAATGCTTACATGGTAGGGCAGGATTTGGGGGCAGGGAAATTTCTTCCATTTCCTCTGGAATTTCACTGTTTGCCAATCCAAGGCACCCTCCAAACCCTTTGGGCCACCATGTAATGGTACATGGCTAGAGATGGTAGGGAAGATCCAATAAGATAATTTCTATGAAATGCTTTGTAAACTTTAAAGCACTGTACAAGTGCGGTGATGATGATAATGATGATGATACAGCTTATTCTCCTATGGCATGTTCTCAAGATCCACCATCCTTATCATGCTCTCTATATGATCTATACCTTGCCCATATGTCTTCCTAAAATGTGGCACCCAAGACAGGATGCCCGGGGCAGATCACAGAGACCTTCCTCTGGCCTCCTTCTCCTCTTTCCTGGAGATTATATGTCTCTCCTTGCGCAGCCTCAGGTCACTCGAGTTTTTGTGGCTACTATATAACCATGGATATGATGGGTATTGAGCTCTGGTCCCTAAAATGCCCCAACCCTTTTTGAATGTAATGCTGTCTGGCCAAGCCTCCCTCATATTATAGCCACGATGGTGGTTTTTTTAAAGCCAAGTTGGTATCTGGGGGCTGCAGGGGCTAGTGGGCTGTGTTTGGACTCAGTGTCCCTAAGTGTGACTCCAAGATTTTCCCTTCACACCTCTGTGGTGCAGAGCAAGTCAACCTCTCTGAGTCTGTTTGGTAAAATAACAGTTGGTTCAGTTCTGAGTCTATGGACCTATGATTATATATTGACCTCAAATAAATGCTATCTTATTCCATTCCTTCCAGGGTTCTAGGCTGTCAAGATCTTTGTGTGAATCCTGACCCTGTCACTCAGTGTAAGCTCTCCCTCCCAGCTCTGTCACTTGCAGACTTGGTAAAGAGTGACTTCAACCAGGTCATGAATTTAAATAATGTTTAATAGCATGAAGCCAATCACTGATCCCTGGGACACTCCACTAGAAACTTCCTTCCAATTATCCTGCAATGCTTTATCCGTCAGGAAGGGAATTCATCCATCCCACACAGGAGTAGAATGAGAGTCGAGAGTTTCCATATTCACACCATCTTCTTCTCCCACTTCCAGGTACAATGGTTCTTGTGAGTGGCTGGGGAAAGCAGATCCAGAATAGAATCCCAGAGTCCCTGATGGAGGTAATCTCTCACGCTCAGGAGGACACCTGTGTGATAGCCAACATTCCTCCATGGGAGCTTTTCTAAGGAGAAGAGTGGGAAGGGAATGAGGAAGCAGCACAGAAAGAAGGTTTGGAGGAAAAAGAACTATGGGAAGTCTGATCTTGCTTCCCATTGGATCCAGCCACAAAGCCCATTGGAACATTGAGCCTTAGTCAACATGAGCCCTCAAAGGGACACCCCTTGTCCCTGGTGACCTGGGAAACTCCTCCTGGAGACAGGGGGCTGAGATCTCTAGCTATTAGCCTTGCCTATTGGTAAACAAATACAGGTCCCCTTTGGATGGTAAGCCAAGTAAAAGGCTAGCAGGGTCTTTGGAGAGCCCTCAGGGACCTGCATTCATTATAGCCCTGGCTTGACTCGTTGGCCTTAAAGAGGCCATGAAATGAGTAAAATGATCTATGGAAGGAAGCACAGGAGTATAGCCTTGAGAAGAGAAGACAAAGGAGGCAAGATAGTGGCCTGTTTCTCAGCCATTCATTCATGCCCAACTCTTCATTAGTCCATGGACCATAGCTTGCCAGGCCCTTCTATTCTCCACTCTCTCTCAAAGTCTGTCCAAGTTCATGTTCGTTGTTTCCATGACACTATTAGGAGCCAAGGTGATGGAGTAAGCATAAGCATGACATTATCTGTCCATCTCATCCTCTGCCATCCCCTTTTCCTTTTGCCTTCAATCTTTCCCAACATCAGGGTCTTTTCCAATGAGTCCCATCTTCTCATTATGCGGCCAAAATAGTTCAACTTCAGCATTGGACCTTCCAGTGAATAGCCTGAATTAATTTCTTTAAGTATTGACTTAAGTCTCTGAGTCTTCATGACTCCATTTAGGGTCATCTTGGGAAAGATACTGGAGTGGTTTGCCATTTTGTTCTCCAGCTCATTTTACAGGTAACTGAGGCAAACATGGTTAAGTGACTTGCCCAGGGTCACAAAGCTAATAAGTTGTCTGAGGCTAGATTGGAACTCAGGTCTTCCTGACTCCAGGGCCAGCTCTTTATCCACCACACCCCTTAGCTGCCCCCGATAGTTGTCTACAAATACTTAAAGGTCAGCGATGCAGAAGAATAATTCAAGTTGTCCCTCTTGAGAGGACAGAGGATGAAACTAGAAGCAATGGGTCAGCATCTCAAAGAACCAAATTTAGACTTGATGTCAAGGGGTGGAGAGAAAAGTCTCAATAATTAGAGCTGTCTCAAAGTGGAAAGAGGTGGTGTGATGTGAACATGGAAGTCAAGAAGACCTGAGTTCAAGTCCCACTTCTAACCTATCCTGGGCAAGTGACAATCCCAAAAGCACCTCTCCAAGACAGAAGTTACAAAGAAGATGCTGACCTGCATTGGTAGAGGGTGTTTCCTCCATCTGGGAGTTCCCTTTGCCAAAGAAATAAGAAGTCTTGATCGACAGATAGAGGTCACTGTCATTGGAGGTCTTTGTGCAAAGGTTGGATGACCACTGGTCAGGAATGACATAAAGGGGAGTCCTGTCCAGGCACATACTGGACTGGATGCTGCCAAGGTCCCTTTCTATCCAATAGTCTGTGACCCTGTGCTGGCACACACACACACATACACTGCTAATAATTATGCATTTCTGAAACATTGCCCTTATACAACAGGCTTTAAATCATTCATTTGTCATCATTTCTCAAAGCCCGTCCATGGAGACTCTTCTTCTCACTTTACCTAGTGGAAGCCATGGTTCATCTGGTCTCATGAATCAATCAATCAATTAATTAACAGCAATTGTGTGCAATCATCATGTGGTAATCCTATTATGAGCCAGTTACAGCAGAGGAAGCATTCGAATTCAGGGTCCCAGCAGGTGTCTCACAGTCTACTCCATACCAGAACAAGAATCCCTTAATCAACCAGTGGTCATGCAGCCTTGAGCCCTTCAGGCAGGGGAAAGGTCCTTTCCCTAATTTAACAAAAAATGCCTCTGTTCTAGATCGAAGTGCCCATAGTCAACCACGAAGCTTGCCAGAAAGCATATGCCAAAATCAATCTGAAAGTCACCAGTGACATGATTTGCGCTGGAGAAAGGGATGGTGAGTAATCCCCAACCTAGTCTGGCCAAGAGGTCGGGAGGGTGGGGGGTGAGCCCTTCCCAGGTCTTGAGGCTCCACGGTGAGGAGAATAGACACCAACAAGATCATTCATGGAGTCATTGGGAGAGCATGTGCCTATAGCAGGGCTCATGGGGGCCAGGGGATGGTACAAGGGAGCAGGTCTGATTGGTAAAGGACAGGCAGGAAGGCAGGGGGCTACTTTTACTGGAGAATATCATGCCTGAAATCAGGAAGAGCTGGGCTTGAATTCAACTCCATCACTTACTACCTTTGGGACTTCTCTCAGCTTGGGTTTGCCTACCTATAAAGCAGGTATCTTAGTAATATTCTTACTGTTGCTGGGAGGCTCAAAGGAGGTCATGTTGGCAAAGCGGCTGGCAAGCTTTTTTTGCAGCTAGGTGGCACAGTGGTTAGAGTGCTGGGCCTGAAGTCAGGAAGATCTGAGTTCAAATCCAGCCTCTGACATTTGCTAGCTGTGTGATTATGGGCAAGTCACTAGCCTCTCAGCTTCCTCATGTATAAAATAAGGGCAATAATACTAACACCTACTTCCTCAGGTTGGTATTAGGATAAAACAAGATAATATTTGTACCTTGTAATGCTATTCAATACTAGCGATGGCAATGATGACAGTGCTGATGATGGAAACAGTTCAACAGAGATGTATTTGGGGGGATGATAAGAAGAAAAAGCAATGAGTGGACTTCAGGGTAAGGAAAGTAGAGGGCAGTGTGTGTCAAGGGAAAGAATACAGGCTATGGCATGAAAAAATCATGGTTCAAATCCCGCCTTTAATGTTTTTCACCTGTATGACCTTGGGCAACTCACCTGATTCCCTGGATCTCTGTTTCTTTATCTGCATATCTGTTAAAAATGATTTTGTTTCTCCCTCCCTACTCTCTCTCTCTCTCTCTCTCTCTCTCTCTCTCTCTCTCTCTCTCTCTCTTTCTCTCTCTCTTTCTCCCCCTCTCTCTGTGTCTTTCTCTCTCTCTCTGTCTCTCTGTCTCTGTCTTTCTCTGTCTCTATCTCTATGTCTCTCTGTCTTTCTCTGTGTGCGTGTCTCTGTCAGTGTCTCTTTGACTCTCTCTGTCTCTGTCCGTCTCTCTCTCTCTCCCCCATCTATCTCTCTGTGTCTGTATCTGTCTCTGTGTCTGTCTCTGTCTTTGTCTCTCTCTCTTTCTCTGTCTCCCCACTCCTCTGTCTCTCTTTCTCCAGTTCTTCCAAGCTGGCCAGATGGCCTTGAATGCTTCCCTTGTCTGAGGCACGGAGTCCTGTCCACTAAAATGGAAGGATTGTACTAGATGGCCTTTCCAAGTCTATGATTTAAAGGAGGGTGTTATCTCTTCACCTGGCTTTCCGAAATTGTGCCTCAGAGGCTCAGATATGGAGGGTTTGAGGGGGTATAGGGACTAGTTAATGTTTTAGGGACCCCTACTATGGGCAGAAGCACCTTCATGGCTCCTATCTCTTTTTGTCCCTTAGGAGGGAAAGATGCTTGTGGTGGGGATTCTGGAGGCCCTATGGTGACCCGTAGTGAGGAGCAATCCCCCTGGTACTTGGTGGGCACTGTGTCCTGGGGGGATGGCTGTGGCAAGAAAGACAGATACGGCGTGTACTCCAGCATCCACGAGAACCAAGCCTGGATTCAGAAAGTCACTGGAGTTCAGAACTAGACCCCTGCCTGTGGCCACGTGGAGCAATGGGCACTAGAGGCTGCTTGTCTGACCTCAGGTTGCCCCACCACCCTGTCCATTCCCTCCTTGGAAGAAGCCAGAATAGACTGGGCAATGTTTGCCCCTCTGCCCCAGCTGCTGACCGTGGTCAGCAGTGAAGCATTGCAGTCTTTGGCACATGCATGGAGGGCTGTATGATGCCTCTGTGCCCTTCTTTGTCTTTTTCCCCCCACCCTCCTGGCCCCACTTATGTGCTGTGAGACCTGGCAGCAGTCAACATCAAAGCTTTAAAAAAGAAAAAAAGTCAATGGGATCTGATATCCCAGGATTAAGAATATCCTCACCTCATCCTAGGGGATATTTCAGGAACCTTTATAACCTTACCTGTCTATCTGTTGCAGCCAAATAGCCCACAGTAAGCGAATTAAATGTAGTTCAATACCTCCTACATATCAGAGCCTGTGCTAGATGCCAGAGACACAAAGACAAAGCTTCTGCCCTCAGGAAGCTTACTTGCTGGCCATGCAAGATCATCCTGAATGGAAGCTGTACAAGAGAGGCCTCGGAGCATCTGAGCAGAAACTCAACCGCTGTGGCTCCCAATCCTGGCTTTGCCCTACCTGGAAACTTGTCCTCAGAACCAGCTGATTTACTCCTCTGTGCCTCCCTAGCCATTCCTGTAAAGGGGGATGCTTCCACCTACCTCACCGAGCATCAAACGCCTGCTGTGTTAGAGAGCCACACCAGATGCCCACAGGAGGGTGGGCCAAGTAGCCTGTTGACACAATGTTTGGGAAACACATAAAATAGTCAAATGTTCCAGCTCATTGTTCCATCTACAGACACATTGTTCCATCTCCAGGAGAGGGGAGATTTAGTCTACTAGGGCCAGCCTATGATGGGAAATAACCCTAAGATGAGACTGAAGTTCCCCTTATCCTAAGAGTTGGAACTTCCCAAGACCTACCAAGAGCTGTAGAGTTCACTTTGGAGCCAGAGGAATGGGGTTCCAATCCTGGTTCTGCCACTTCTACTCATGTTGCCTTGCAAAAGTCACTAAACACCCTCCAGGCCTCAGTTTCCTCACTGTAAAATGAGGGTGTTAGATCAAAATTGCTTTAAATCATCTCCAGTTCTCCCAAAACTTTCTGACACTGCAGCTTCAGGCATTTTCTCTCTTCTTCAGTCTGGGATTCCACACCTCTGTAGTCACTTGATTTTCCATCAATATGGGCTCAGCCCCCATGATCTCCATTGGGAACCCTGCTTTATTTTGTCCTGGATGGCCCTCAAAGGTCCATCTTGGGAACATCGTCTTTCCCTCCCCTTCTTTTCCATTATTCTCTGGCATGGATTTGGAATGTTCTGGGATTTCAGAACAATTGAGACATAAGGACAAAGGAGCTGTGACAAGGAAGACCAAGGAAGGGGCAGAGCAAATATACTAACCTGAGGAGACTGCTTCCCCATTGGGAGCTCCCTACACCGATGTAATCCCAAATCCAGTCATCCAAACCATTATTCGCCACTCTGGCATTACCTTTACCTTGTTCTCTCTGATCTGAAAGTCTCAAGAGAGGACCAGTTCTGAAACAGATTGAGCTGGGCTCCTGGCCCTTGCAAACCAGGTATAAAAAAACTCAAAATTTCACAGCTGCACTCAGACCCGTTGTCAGCTCTCTGTTGCAGATGCTGTCTCTTCTGTGTCTCCCAGAGCCCAGACTCATCTTCCAGTCTGGGCCTGTCACCCACTTCTTCCAGAGGCCGGTCTGCAATTCACTCAGGCACAGTCCTCTAAAGCAGGACTAGACTTGAAACTGACTCAGGGACCGTTCATGAATCCCCTCCCCATTGGCTGGGATGTGGGGGACCCTCGGGGCCCTCTTGACCATATCCCTCCCTTTTCTCTGAGGCATGGCCTGGCCTGCCCATGGGAACAACATTTCTTCTTTGCACACATGCCCATGGTCAGGACCAAAGGATGTAATGTAAGAAAGGCACTTTGTAACTCTGAAAGCCCCACAAAAATGTGAGTGATCCAATTTTTGGCACAGCTCTTAGCCCATGGCTGGAGGATAAACAACAAATGTTAGAAGCAAAAATAGTCAGAAGTTCAACAGTAACAGAGGCTGGGTGCTTTCTGATTGCTCTACATAAAATCGTGATTGAGTCCACGTTCCCCAAGTTTGTTTGTTTTTTCCCTTCTGAGAAATCCTCATTTCACTCGTTTCTGGCTAATCAAGGTTTTAGTGTATTAATGAAGGTTTGCATGTAAAACCCAGAAGACCTGGGTTCAAATGTCCCCTTGGATACTCACTATTTGTGTGACCATAGGAAAGTCGCATCGATTCCCTGGGTCTCCATATTTTTGTCTTGAGAGAGGCATTGGTGGGCATAGTAGAAAGCAGACTTAGCTCACACTTGGAAGACCTGGGTGCTAATCTTGGTACCCCCCCATGGGCCTCAGTTTCCTCATCTGGACATTGAACGGGTTGGTCCCATTGACCTCTGAGGTAGCTTCCAGCTCTTTATCTATGGTCCTAGAATATCTAACAAAGAGATGAGAAGATCTCCGGCTTAGGAGACCTCCCCTGTGCTCACCTGGGCTTAGTGAAAGTCACCAGTCACCCTCCCCCATAGTGGAATGGAAACCAGTAGGAACAAAGGAGCTATTATCCTATAAATGACTGTAATTGCCAATAGAGAGATACAAAAATTGTGCTTGAGCAGAAGAACAGTATGTTACAGAAGCGACACCTTAAGGCAAGAGTTCCTAACCCGGAGTCCTTAAAAACATTTCAGAGGGTCCATGAATTTAAGCCCAAAGAATGTCCACCTGTATTTTCACTGACCTTTGATTCCTTTGAAAACCCATGTATTTTATTTTCTGCATTTAATAACACGATGGGGGAGGAGGGGGTGTCCATAGGCTTTGGCAGACTGACTGTCCAAGGGCGCCGTGACATGAGGAAGGGCTAGAAGCCCTACTTTGGGCTATGAATTGCATTCAAGTGCTGCTAAAGTCTTTTCTAGTGGTCAAATTCTGTGATCTCCCAACAGTTCCCCTGGGCTTGGCTAAAGCATTCCATCAATCATTCCTCCATTGGATAGTAGGAAAAGTGCTGGTCCTGGAATCAGGAGAGACATTGTTCAAGCCTTGCTTCTGACACTTACTGACCAGGAGTGGACACTTAGCCTCTCAGTGCCTCAGTCTTCTCATCTGCTAAATGGGAATCATAATATCAATGGTACCTACTTTTCACAGCCTTGAGGTGAGAGTCTCATGAGATAAAGTTTCAAGTGCCCTATGAATGCCAGCAATAGTCTACCTCCACCCCTAGATTATGTAGACACAGCAACATCTAAACCAGAGGCTGGTGAGTCTACCTGTGAAAATCTGCCCCCAGCCCTGGGCCCTGGACCACCTCCAGAGGTCCAGCTCTGAAGAGTCAGCATCCCTCACCAGCAATTTGCTTCCTTCCTTCCTTGGTTCCTACCCCTACCATACACATACATATATACTCACATACATACACACATATACACACACATACACACACACACACACACACACACACACACACACACACACACACACACACACCCCAGACCTCAGCAGGGAACTCCTGAAAAAGTCAACAATCCCTGGTCAAGATATTGATGGTTTCCAGGAAAAAACAAGTCACTGCTGATAAGGCTGAACTTCAGGGAAGGTGCCAGGCTGATCGGTAGAGGGTTGTCCTGGAAGCAGAGGGCGAAGAGGAATTGGGGGAGGGGGAAATGAAGCTCCCAACATGAAGAATCCCCCAGTTCTCAAGTCCTTCCTTGACCCTCCAGTTCCAGGGCTCTGGTTCCATGGGGGAAGCTTCTGAGTTCTCTGAAATTGTGTGTGTGTGTGTGGTGTGTGTGTGTGTGTGTGTGTGTGTGTGGTGTGTGTGTGTGTGTGTGTGTGTTTTAATGGAGAAAAACAAATTCTTGGAAGAGGCTTCCTGGGTCTGGTTTGTTTGTTGTGTGATGTGTGTGTGTGTGTATGTGTGTGTGTGTGTGTGTGTGTGTGTGTGTGTGTGTGTGTGTGTGTAAGAAGATAAAGACAATGTCATTGGGAACCAAAAAAACATGCTGGGTTCCCAGCAACAAGTTTCTGAGCACAGGAGAGGAACAGGAAGATAAAGGCAGGACCATGTGCCCAGAAGCAAAAACAGCAGGAAAACACCGAGCCTCTGCCAGATCTGCAGCCAGGGTGATGCAGCTGAGGCCTCAGCACACAGCAGCTGGGCTCTGGCTTAGGGAAGGCCGTTACCCCTCCCCCAGCCCCTCATTGCCCTGGCTTCTCTGAGGTCTCTCTCCCATCTCCTTCTCTCCCTCCCCTTCTTCCTTTCTCCCTCTCCCTCTCCTCCTTCCATCAGCCTTCAGCCAGCCAAGGCCAACTGGAACATGGCTCGGCCCCACTGCAGGCCTCCAGAGGTCCCAGGTTCCCAAGAGAGATCACAGTGGCTCAGAGGGTCAGGACTCCACGTTCTAAAATCAAGAGGCCCCAGGAAGCCAAGGCAATGAGGCGGGAGGCTGTGCCACAGTCCTCTGTGGAAGATCACCATCAGGAAGCCAGCAGCTCAGCCCCATGATCCAGAAACACCCCAGCATCCCTGAGGCTGGCTGCCCACCTGTGGCTCAGACATCATTCATTTTCATCTCTCTTTAGAGACAGAGCTTGGTTCACTCAGGCAATTCACATGCAGCTCACATCTCCACATCCTGCAAAGGGACCCAAAACCATGCCCTCCTTCCCCAGCAGCTCCTCGTCCCCTTCCCACTTCCTATGTCCTAACTCGGGTCTGACCCAGACCTCCCAAGGAGCCTCCTCGCATGACTGCCGTTGGCCTATGAGATGGTCTCTGTCCTCCAGACGAAGGAACAGGGTGGAGGTGTGTTTGAATGCAGAGACAGGAAGATAACAATGAGGCCCAAAGAGGCCTAGAGGACTTGGGGTCTACTTTAGGCGCATCCCAGCTCTGTGACCTTGGGCAAATGCACGACTTTCCCTGGGCCTGTTTTCCCATCTGTAGCCAACTGATGCACCCTTCTCTGCCCAAAGAAGGAATGAGGGCCTGGATGCATGGATTTCAGATATGGAGCCCAAAGCAACAGTAAGAATTATCACTAGCGCCCTGAATCTTTGATAACAACTGAATGTTTACTGTAGGGGGACGGCTGGGTCTGCTGCAGGCAGAATCACACAGAGTCCACAAGTATGCACTTCATACCCTGAACAGGGCCTCAGTTACCGCTTCATCCAGCGGGATTCTGACTGTGCTGGAGACAGCTCCATTTTCAGAGACACATGAGATTTTAAGGCCATCAGAGCCTTGAACAACATTGAAAGGACAGCTGATCTTTTGTGCCCCCTCCTTCCCCACGCTTGGTCATTCATTTCCCCAAAGCCACCCCCAAGGGTCCCAGGCTACAAAATTACATCTGCTCTCCTGGGTTTCTTCAGCAATCAGATGGAGGTAATTCATACTAAAGTATGAAGGACTGATGGGTGTAAGCCATTCCTCTGAGACAGCAGGCAGCTGCTGAGATCTCAGCAGATTCCTGAAACCCTAGCAGGAGCAGGTATCTCAAGGAGCTCACCAGACGCCTTCACTTCTGCTACCCTGCCCACCCACAGCCACCAGATCCCGAAAGATGCCTGAGAGACCGGTAGGAACTCTGCTCAGGTCCTTCCCCTGCACAGCATTAGCCCCCAATGCCTGCTTCTACCAGGTGTTCCACATCTCCTTGTGGCTGGATGTTGACCTACCCCCTCCCCAGCCCTACACCTGAAATAACCCAGATCCCTGTTCTGATCTCAAAGCCACTTGCATGAGCAGGGATTCACCAGTTACACTCCTTCTGGTAAGATGGTAGACCATTGGGCTTTAGCCCTGCCCTGAAAGCATGCCCTCAGGACCCCTGGGCACTGCCATCTGCCTGGCTACTGTACCTTAAGATCCCTGGGTCTCTCCTTGGACTCCTCGGCCGAATCTTCCCACCACAATATAGGCTTCTCCCAAGTAGGGACTGTCCTGCTTTTCTATGAATGTCCTCACTACTTGGCACCATCCTTGGCACCCAGCAAGGGCCTAATAAATACACTTCTCTGCAATGGTTTTGGTGAGGCAATCAGGATTAAGTGACTTGCCCAGGGTCACACAGCTATTGTCAAGTGTCTGAAGCTGGATTTGAACTCAGGTCCTCCTGACTCCAAGGCCAGAGCTCTATCCACTGCGTCACCCAGCTGTCCCAATGTTTGTACTTTTAATAGAAGTTTTTTCTGCCTCATCGACCCTCTTATGAATTGATGGCCCTCATCCACCCTCCAACCACTCAGTCACTCCAAGCTCTGCAGGGTAGTCCTGATAAACAGTAAGGTCATGGGCCTCCTTTCTTGTTGACCCCCATTTCCCTAAAATGAGACTTCCTGGCTCCAGGGCCAGGACTCTAACCACTGCGCTTTCCATCTGCCCCCATTTTTCTGCTTAGCCAAATCAGACCTGGTCTTGTGGGAAGAGGAGAAGATTCTCAGATGCCCCTCCCGCTTCCCACTTGCCCCCCCTTCCCCTGGCTGCCATCTTCCTGTCTGGGCTTCTTTCCCACTTCCTGTCATGGCCCTCCACCATTGTAAGACTGTCAACTCTATTTTTCCCAAGAAGCTCACTATCTCCACTGAACTACATGGCCTTCAGTGTCACTAACAAAAGAGCCCTGCACATGAAGCCACAGGAGATCCAGGCTGGAGCACTGGGCCTGCCTAAAGCTCCCTACCTGAAGAACCATGGGCAAATCGTGTCACCTCTCTGGCTTTGGCCTCCTCTTCTGTAAAATGGGACAGTCACACATTTACTACCCATATCACAGGGCTCAGTGAAGAAAAAAGCATGTGACAGACTTCAAAGATCTACATAAATGTCACTCTAGTCCTAAATATCCTCTTTTTCATAATGAAATGACATTACCTAGTTTCAGTGGCATGACCCTGACACCCAGGTTTCCATACACGTCATGTCTCTGGGTAAATTATTTCAGATTACATGGAATTACATGGATAATATATGCTAAAAATGTCATAATTTCTAGCCTATTTGAATTATCTTTGGGAGGGTCTCAAAACAACATCCCCTCCTTGAAGGT